GGTAGCAATCATATCTTCCAATGGGATGCTGATGTTACATTGCTGGCATACCCATCCAATACCTCTCATTTCCTCTCCGGTCCGACGATTCAGCCAATTCCTACGCCGCCCACCCCTTGGCAATAATTATGGTATTACAATTTCTCCCTTGGTGAGCATTTTCTCCCCTAAAGCACTGGTAGCAGAGTAGAATTGAAAAAATCCTTAATGGTTGGAATGGGGGCGTCACCCATGTCCGCCCGTCCACAATTGCTCGTAAACACTCTAGAAGGCACAATTCTTGACTGATTTTGACTTAACTTGGTATGATTAATTGCAATCACCCAAGGATGAACCTTATTGAAAATAAGAAAAATCGAAAAATATTTAGTATGAATCATTGCCCTTGTTCTCGTAAACTCTCTAAAAGGTTCAATTCTTGACGGATTTTGACGAAACTTGGTATGAGTGTTTGCTATCACTCAAGGATGACCCTATTGAAAACAGAAATCGAAAAATAATTAGTATGAGTTATTGCCCTTGATCTTGAAAACGCGTTCAAGTTTAGCTTGTAAACACTCTAGAAGGTTCAACTATTGACAGATTTTGACGAAACTTCGTGTGAATGTTTGTTATCACCCAAGGATTAATCCTATCGGAAATCAGAAGAACCGACAAATATTTTGTTTGAGTTATTGATCTTGTTCTTAAAAACGCGTTCAAGTTTAACCCTGTGAACACTCCAGATGGCCCGATATTGACGAAATTTGGTAATATTATACAGTATTAGCCGTTTAAGGTTGAATATTTCATCCTGTTAATTGTTACTGTCCTGCGAAATATTTTTATTTAAAATCAAAGCTGCCAGTCGGCGTATATTACCTTGCCAGGGAAGCTATCTTTCTTATGGTATTGAGTGTTATTTGATCGTGATCGGATCGCCGCCTATTGGAATGGGGGTACTATAAAACACATAAAAAAGACAAAATTATAAATCTTCTTAATACTGAAATAATTCCTGACAGATTTAGCACCTTTTGAATATTTAGCTTTTACCCACCTTCAAAACAAATTATTTCATGTACGTAGTGTACATTATGTATTTGCATCTTAAATTATTATAATATTGTGGGACTTAGCTTCCGCAGAGTCTCAGTTTGTTATCAAAATTTTAATCCTTTTTTTTAAATTCACACATCTTCCTGTACTTAGACTGCAGTAGTTGCTGCAACCATTCAACTTTCCTAGACCTTCGGTACTGGCAACGTGTTCCTTAAATATATATTTTCGCAAAACCGGAGGTGCAACAGTTCAACAAGTGCAAAAAGTAGAAAATCAGTTCCAGTAGTCGCTTTGTTGGTCTATTTTTTCGGGTTTTTCATTTTTGGAATCTACATGTAATATCTGATATGATAGCACTTAAAAGAATTCGAAATTCAAAAATTTGTCGCACACTTTTTCGGACAAATTTGTAAATTTTTGACAAAATAAAGCGTTTTTTTTGCTTTTTGTCCGATTACACTGAAATTTTCTGTGCAAAAAAGACAGGTCTAGAAAGTAAATAAAATGGAATTTTCACTTCCGGTTTATATGGGAAATCCATTTTAACTTCCGGTTGAACTACTTCCGGTGTAATTAATATAGCGCGACGAATCTTAAACTGATTGGTAGTCAACGTTATTACAACAACAAAAAACGGAGAAGAAAAAATCTGAACGTTATACTTTGGTCGACATTTTGATTTTCCTGAAAAGTTTCGATTTTATGCAGACATTTTTTTCCGATTTAGATGGTTTTGGTGTCAAATGAAAGAGCATAAAAAATACTAACAAACTTGGAAGCCGCTTTTTTAATTTCGCTTTTGCTTTTTTGAAATTTCTGGTTGACCAATGATCGAAGGTCCCGGTCATGAGCCTTCAAACTTTGATCATTGGTCATTGAACTCGGCTATCAATTATATTTGATCGCCGACATCTACTTCCGGTTTAAAGGCTGTCCAAAAAGTTAAATTCACAACTTTGGATTGCTCCAGCATATGAACTATTAACCTAGAAGGTTTATTTTTCGGACTCTTAATGTACCTTTCATGCTTCATTTAAAATTCCTTGATTTTATTTTTACAATTTGTTAGCTTCTTTGAGCTTGGTGAATGTATATCGTATGACCTATAAATGGCTTAAAATTTAGAACATCATTAGACATAACTATAACTTGAGAATAAATTCACCTACGACAAAAAAAATGGCGTGGCACATCCGGGTTAAATTACATATTTGTACATTTTTGGGTATAAAAAATACGGCATAGATTACATTTGTTCAAAAAGGACCATGTTTTATTACTGATATATTGACCTTTATTGGCCTTGACCAACAAACTCTCAGAAAAGGGTAAATTTTTTTAACTTAGCTAATAAGTAATGGTGTTCATTGCTCACCTGTCCCTTTCAGGACGACCAGGAATTATGCTTACTGTGTTGTCGAATAACAATGTATTTCACCTTCCAGGAAGTTCACCCAACTTATATTAACTGTCAGAATGAGAAAGCTGATAGCCGTATTATTATTTGTAGTAGTAATCTACAGTCATTGTAAGTATTTGGACCATTTCATTAACGAATATGCTCGACATACTTTTCCAGCATTAAGATCGGAATGAACGAGGGTCGAATTAATATCCAAGCGTTTTATGTCCAGGATTGAAAATCCGGACCCAAGTATTCGCTTTTCACATTTTGTACTGTTTCAATAACACATCACTTATCAGATCAGTCAATCATGACATCTTATATTCTAGTCGAGCCGTACCAGTGTAAAAATTATATATTACATAAGAGTCTAACGACGGTTACCGAGACCAGTTATTCATCAGTTGAATGGATACGGACATGGGGCGCTCCAGTACGGGATCCGGATATAATGTAATTATAATAGTGTAATTGACAATGAATTCTAAATTTAATCTGTAATTCTTTGTATTGTTTACCGTAAGTTCAAATCCGCGTTGGGGCAAAGATTTTGTCTCAACATACTAGCTTCAATATTAATGTCCTTTTTCTTTTGAGTGTTTTACGATTATTGTTATTGTTGATTCTCGAATCACGTCGTCTCATAAACGTTTATGTCAGATGTTCTTTTTCGTTGTTCGCGATTATCCTTGTAAGGTGTACTATGTGATTGTTACACGGAGATGCGTGCCTTATTAAGACCTATACACCCTACATTTCATCATTAAATTAACTCATTTAAAAATAGGATGAGTTTAATTTTAAAACACGATAAATTAACTCAATTAAAGGGAGGTAATTTTGTTTGAAATGTTTCAGACCAAAATGGATTTTTTGAAAACCAAGGCGCGGCCACCTCTTATATGTTTAATCAAGGAAATTATTTTGTTGAAAAGGAGTGGAGCTCTATTAATTATTCTATTAATCATTCTTTCCCCTAGAAGAAATCATTAGAAAACTGAAAAAAGAATTTTTACAGTTTAAAATATCAAAGTTGGAAATATTTTTTAAAATTGAATGTTTCTTAGATGATCGACTGAGTGTGCATGTTAAAATCTATTAAGTCAACAATACCGTATTTCACCACCCCTATCAAGCCCAACAGCACCTGTCTTATAGGTATACCACTACAGAAGTTGATTAGATGAGATTATATGATGAGATAATATGATGAGATTATACATTGAAATTTCATATTATGATAAATGAATCTATAGTGGTAGTATATGAATCAATCACACAAGGAAGTAAATACGCCATTGTTGACTATATCATAACTAGGTCATAACACAAAACACTCGTAAACTCTAGAAACTTCTAGAAGGAAGATAACTCTTGTTTTGGAAAAAAAAACAGACCACAATTTCTTCGTTAAATTAACTCATTTAAAAATAGGACGAGTTTAATTTCGGTTCAGATATTCAAAAATCATTAAGTTCTCTTCCTGGATTTCCATGGGCAAAATATTCCGGAGAAAAACATCTTCCAGGTCATAATTATACTGGTCCAGGTACTAGACTAGATCTACGATTAGACGAAAACGATTAACCCAAACCAGGGGAAGAACCAGTCAATAGAGTTGATGCCACTGCGCTTAAACATGATGTTTTATACAGAAATAAAGACATAAACTTCAGACACGAAGCAGACAGACAAATGATAATCGAACTTGAAAATATTCCAAATCCAACTTTCAAAGAGAGAATGCAAAGGGCTCTGATCGTAAAACTGTTAAAAGCAAAGGTGAAATTGGGTATGGGATTGGCAGATGAAATTCATAAAGAAGTTAGAAAAACTAAAAACTTTTTAAAAGTTAAAGTATTTGAAAAAGATGAAATATGGTCAGCTGATTTAATTCATATGCCAGTCGAAAGAGGATTTAAATATTGCTTAACAGTTATAGATTTATATACAAGATATGCTTGGGTTATTCCTTTGAAAAACTAAACAGGATTATCAGTCAAACATGCTTTTGAAACGATTATGAAACAATCTAACCGACATCCAGAAAAACTGTAGGCAGATAAAGGAAGTGAATTTTATAACAAAAATATGAAATCTCTGGGATTTGAAATTTACAGTACGCATAACGAAGGTAAAGCGGTAGTTATTGAGAGATATAATAGAACTCTAAAAAATAAATTATTCAAAAAGTTCACGGAATTGAAATCCCAAAAATGGCTTAAAATATTACCAGAGGTTGTAGATGAATACAATAACAAAATTCATTCATCTATAGGTGTCACACCAACACCAGCCACAAATAATCCAAAATACGAAAATGAAATAAAAATTTAAATATTAAACCCAAATTCAAAGTTGGAGATCGCGTTCGTTTTTTCAAATATAAAAGTAAATTTGAAAAAGGTTACGTTGGATACTGGACAAACGAAATATTTATCGTAGATAAAGTAAACAGCACATCACCTCCAACATATGAATTAATCGATCAAGACAAAGAACAAATCATAGGTAGGTTTTATCAAAACGAACTTCAAAAAACCGACTTTTAAAAATGAATGAATTTCTCGATAAATATGGAACCGATACAACTACAAACTTTCAACTTATGAGATGGGCGAATGAGTTAAATATATCACCGTTTTATTATTGTATGAGAGATGAAATAAATAATCTGAAATATAAGAAAGGTAAATTTTACGCTATAACAAATATACATACTTCCGATCAAAAAGGAGTTCATCATTCTGCTTTGTACAAAGACTCTTCAAATGACTTATATTTCTTTGATTCTTATGGATTAGAACCCACTTTAGAAACCAAAAAACCTAACGCTACAGCGTGGATAAATAAAGCGAAACCTTACTTCCTGGATCAAATCGGTGACACTCTTCAAGGTGATTTAGATATGAACAATTTTAAAGTAACTAATTTAAATTCTCCGGAAAACGATAATGACGCTGTTCACAAGAAATATTTACGGGATCAAATAAATTCAATTGAAGTAAATAAAAACCATTTAGAAGATAAAATAAGTAATGTGAAAAGATTCTTAACTAAATAATAAAAATTTTGTTAATGATACTAAACTACAACAAGAGGTAGAAGGTTTAATAAGTTTTATTCAAAAACAATTGGTCAACGTAGTGAACAAAACTGAGTTACAAAATTTAATTTCATTAATATCTAAATTAGATGATAACATTACAAAACAAAAATTAGACATTCAACAATTAATAGATAACATTCCAGATGAAAATGAAGATACGTTTCAACAGGAATTAAATGCTCTGGAAACTAAACTTAACAGTGAATTACAAAAAGAACTAACAAATATTAAAAAAACAAATACAAAACATAGATGATAGCGAAATCAAAACCTATATTCAACAACAAATACAAAACATAGATAATAGTGAAATCAAAACCTATATTCAACAACAAATACAAAACATAGATAATAGTGACATTAAAACCTATATTCAACAACAAATACAAAACATTGATGATAGTGACATTAAAACCTATATTCAACAACAAATACAAAATATTGATGATAGTGACATTAAAACCTATATTCAACAACAAATACAAAATATTGATGATAGTGACATTAAAACCTATATTCAACAACAAATACAAAATATTGATGATAGTGAAATTAAAACCTATATTCAACAACAAATACAAAATATTGATGATAGTGACATTAAAACCTATATTCAACAACAAATACAAAATATTGATGATAGCGACATTAAAACCTATATTCAACAACAAATACAAACTATTGATGATAGTGACATTAAAACCTATATTCAACAACAAATACAAAATATTGATGATAGTGACATTAAAACCTATATTCAACAACAAATACAAAATATTGATGATAGTGACATTAAAACCTATATTCAACAACAAATACAAAATATTGATGATAGCGACATTAAAACCTATATTCAACAACAAATACAAAATATTGATGATAGTGACATTAAAACCTATATTCACCAACAATTACAAAATATTGATGATAGCGACATTAAAACCTATATTCAACAACAAATACAAAATATTGATGATAGTGTTATTCAACAACAGATAACCACAATTAAGTTTTCCCTATGGAATGAAATGGCATGGGGGAAAAGTGTGAACATACTAAGAGCTCTATAACGACTTTCGTGGGTCGAAAATTGGAATACTTGTAGAGCAACTACGCTCCTTTCCAATTGAATATTCAATGGATATGTGCTTTCCTTCATTTAGTCAGCAACATCGTTTTGATTATCGAATATAATTCACGAAGTGGTATAATTTTATCTATAAAACGGGTCGTTTTTTGTTTGTTTACAATCAACATTTTCTTGTGCATAAATGTGGGTTTTATGAACAAATGATTAATGAAATGGTCTCTGTTACACCACGTCATGACGTAAGATATAAACGTAACGTAACGCACAACCTTTTGATTTTTAATGATTTAATGGTCTTTTCTGCTAATACAACCAATTAGGATGTTTAAATTATGGAATGTTCTTTATTGACTGTTTAAAAAATTAAAAGGAAAAATTCAAGAAATATTTTTAAATACAGGTGCTAAATTTGGAGATGATAATAGTTATACCTGTCACTGTATTAATGATGAACAATGCAATAAAGAAAGTGGTGTGTGTGGTGGAGGTTGTGCTAAAGGATGGTCTGGTGATACTTGTCAAAAACGTAAGAATTGTACATTTGAGTAAAGACATATATCATGTTAGAAGTTTACTTACGTCCCACAATTGTAATAGATTAGTCCCAATGACATTAAGGCACTTAGTAGGTAGGACTGGAGTGTACACGTGTAACAAATCTTTATTGATTTTAAATTGTTCAGTAAACTCATCTTACTTTTACAGTGCCCTATTTCACAAAGCTGTAAACGATTATGTGGAACACAATGACTTACAGTATAGTTGAACTTTCAGAAAATGTAGCTCTTGGTAAACAGACTTTTGGAACTAGAACGTCTTATTTAGCTGTAGATGGAGACAGCACTATATTTTTTAGCAAATGTACTGATACCAAATATGCTGTTACTGGTAGATGGTGGAAGGTAGATCTACTAAAAGATTATCCTATTAAACATATTACCATCTATCGTAAGAAGGACTTTTTTCTCGATACAATATGAACAAATCACGCATCATTCTTTAAGAATCACGCCAATGCCTATGTTACGAACAAATGCGATAAACACCGAATATTTTACTCTTGAACAATTACATATACTTCGATTTTAAAGTTTGATTTCTCCCAAGTGTACATATACCACATTTAGAAATAAGAATGCATTTTCTTCTATCTTTCAGCTCATTGGGGTGAGTAGAAATATTTTAATCATTACAATGGCAACCTTAAAATAGTAGGCAATGGGCCGAGCTCTGCTATCGATCACAGAAAATTCACAAACCCTCAAGTTTTTGGTGACTAGTAAATCTATATATCAAAGTTATCAGTAAACTACCCTCTTTAAGAATATGCATTGTTTTACCAAAAATACTGGTTCACTCATTAAATAATGACACTTGAAGACATGCACCCATTTTTCAATAATCGACAAAATCAACAAACGGAACTGTAATTTGTGCATTGCTTTAATGTAAAATAACAAAAATCAAGGATTTTGAAATAAATCTAAATATAGTTTTTGTAAAATAATTACAATCATCATCATTCGTCATCTTTGTCTTTGAAAAACACAAATGAATTATATGACGAGTCGTCATTTAAACATTCAAACGCGGATAATTCTTGACACACACTGTCAGGGACAATAGATATTTCATTATCATTTATTAACCACCCATGGTTTCTCGGACACGGTTCTGCTATCTCTTGTTCAAGATAGCTACGATACAAGTTAACTTGAAAAAATGCGTGTGGCACATGAAGTTTTATACTATCGCTTCTTGGAAAATGAAATGAGTTTTACGTCCTAGTTTTCTGCACCATGTCGGCTAATGAAGACGTGCATCGCCATGCAGAGCACAATGAGGGAAATTTAGCCTGCTTTTTTCGATTTCCAACTGTTGTTGCATCTTTATCGTGCACAGCTTGTAGCACAGTCGGCCTCGGTTTATTTTCCATACGAACGACTAGACGCTTTTTCCATGACAGCCCCTCTTACCTGCATCACTAACAGGAAGAAACCGCGTTTGGTGGCACTGAAACATCACTGACATAACCAAATCTAAACTAGCTGTATCGCGTTTCATCTACTCATTTCTGCTTTCCATCAAAACAACGAAACATCTCAAAAACCTAATTTAAAAAATCAGTTAATACCAAGATGTCTTGGTCTCAGAGACTATATCAAAAAAGACAAAATTTTTAGATAGAAGATAAGACTGTAAACGTAATAAATAAAAAGTTACGTTCCTTGTTTAAGGTCTATTTGAAGGAATTATGCGATTTTCGTAGTTTTAGTAGTTTTAAAGACTATTTATAACATATCTTATCGTTGTATAAACGGATGGGCGGCGCTTCGCCGTTGTATACATTTTTCGTTATAGCATCATTGACTTTGTAAATGTATAGAGACAGGGGGGTGACTGTAGTTGTCTGCACAGATCATCAATAATATCTTAGTCCCACCCTCAGAACGTTCTACAACTGCAAAATAAATTGTATTCGTGTCACTTCTATATTTATATAATGTAATTAAAGCCACGATTATGATGTAACAAGTACCACTGGCTTTAGTCCGAAACATCTGCCTCTATTCCAGCCTCTGATGGATATTTTGACAATTGTCGGCTGAAAGTCAGAAAGTAGAGTCAGAAAAAGGCCATGTTAAATATTTAATTAACTTTACGATGACTGTATATTAATGTTGAGCATCACCGTAACTTCGTTTTACGTGCTTCTGTTACCTTTGAACTTTTAGCTGCACACGCAGTTTTAAATGCGAGATCAGTTTCGTTAAAAAAATCGACGAAACTGGAGACGTGACATAAATGGTGTAGGGAGAAAATCATGATATGACTGAACTACAAACATATTCATCTTCTAAATATATCTGGGTTTTGCAGATCCGAGGTATCTAAAAATCTGCCTGCGGAGATGCTGAAAGTCCCCATTTAACAGGGCCTTTTTTTCTGTCACTACACTAGCCAACATCTGTCCAAATAGCTATCAGAGGCTGGAAAAGATATATATTTTATTAATTTATTAATGCCCTTTTAATTATTATACTGAGATTTACTAGTCACCCTTCAGCATACTGAAAGGTTAATTAGGGTTCGTCCTTAAGATATCAGTTTGCATGAAAGGTGTGATGAGCTAGTTTTATGTTTAAAATAAATGTTAGATGGTAGTAGAGTTGTTTTCAAAACTTGTTTTCAGGTTTTTCCTCATTGAGTGGAATCTCACTGCACGTTAACAAAGAGAATCAAGAACCAGAACTATGTCATAAAGATAGGATTCTAGGTGCATTTACCACTGCAAAAAAACAAATAGAGTGTGATCGGGTTATAACTGGTCGTTATTTAAACATCAGTAATTTTCAAATTAGCCACAATGGAATATATTTAACTTTATGTGAAGTAGAAATTTATGGTATGTTTCATCCATTTCAATATTTATATACCCCCCCCCCCCCCTCCCCCACACAAACACACCAATGTGTATGTATAATGCCCTGTCCGTCCATCCGTCTTGTGAGCACAATAGAAACTACAGCGTTCACCTGATTTAATGAGATCTTAAGACAGCTTCGAATATGTCCTTGACTTAGTTAAAAGACGTTAAAAAGTTTCTTAATGCCTAGTTCACACCAACGGCGAATGCTGCGCTTTAAATCGGCGAGCAAAGCGCCATTATTTTTTGTTTACTTTTCCAAAAATATCACGATCTAAGTAATGTTACGCTCTGATAAGCTCTGATACGAATTATTTCCCGATTTGATTAGGCCTTGTTACTCTTTAAATCACACTTTGATAAGCTTTATTAAGCTTTGATGCGGTTATGACGCTTTAAATCACGCTCTGATACGATTATCAAGCTCTGTTGTGCATTGTTAAGCTCTGTTACGCATTGGAAAATTTCGAAATGGCCGATTTCTCGCCGCTTTTGATCAAGTGGTGACAGACCGTGAAGACTGGGGTCCTCGCTTTGAATAAAGCTATGTTAAGCTTTCCTATGCTTTGAGTCAAGCTTTGCTGAACTTTCTTACGCTTTGTTAAGCTTTGATACGTTCTCGGCGCTTTAATCAATTCGTGACAGAGCGCCCAAAATTTTTAAAAAGTTTAAAAATTTTTTTGGCGCTCTTGCCGAATATCCATCTTTGCTCAAAACTTTCCAACGATCTATTACGACCCTGGCGCTTTAGTCGAGCTTTGTTACGCTTTGGTACCGCTTTGAACGCCGCTTTAAAGCGCGATCAAAGCGCCGTTGGTGTGAACTGAGCATAAGCACATTAGAAGCTACGATTTTCATTTATAGTAATGGCAATTAATGTGATCATTTGATGGCATCTTGAGTAAGTTCAAATTTGAAGACTTTACGATAATCGTTATAGAGCTATCAGTTAAATCGCTTAAAAATTTTCTCGTAAGCGCAATAGAAGCTACAATTTTCTAACGAAGTGTGATCATTGGAATTTGCAAGATCTTGAACAATATCTAATGGGACAGATTGTTGCTCTTGTTTAACCGCATCCTTTTTTGGGTTTAACATTTAGAATGATTTACAATTGATAATTTTTGCTATTGGATATCGCAATCAACTGGAATCACTGCTCTGTGGGCTTATGATTATCTTGCTTGGCAAACTATCTTAAATTAAGCAGAAAGTGCAACCCTACAAAAAACAACATAGTTTCTCGCCCACTTACCGTGTTCCTGGACATATTGGACGAAATATTGTACAAGTAGTATTTGAAGCTGTTTTGTATACATATATACTTGGACGAATGACTTCCTAGGCAGGGAGATCGTCTTGTCCATCGGAAGTGATCATCCCCTATTTGTGCGACATACAAAACAGCATTTCCTTTGACAATAATTATCCCTTAAATAACACTGGATACTGATTAATACCTCTTTACTTCAGTATGTTCTGTAGGAACGTATGGTTCAGATTGTACAAACTTCTGTCATTGTTTAAATAATGAAAGATGTTCAGAGAATGGTGAATGTCCTAGTAGATGTGCTGATGGTTGGATGGGAAGTACTTGTAGTCAAAGTAAAATTTTATATTTTAAAGTTATTATATTTTCCACGTCGAAATTATAAAATTTTAAATCTATGACACAGATAGCACAGTAATATTAACACTGTTTAATTTTCTAGCTCAATCTGTATTCAAATGATAATGTATAAAATATAAATAATTCCCCCCAAAAAAGAATCTGCTGGGTTCTAAAAATCACTCCATACCCGTGATTTCATACCCTTTCACATGTTTCTATTGAAACTAAGATAATATCGGTTCGTATACATGTCAAAACTTGATACAATGCGTTCACTATATTTTTTACATTTGCATTACTAGTTTGTGATACTGGTATGTATGGTGCTGGATGTTTAAAACTATGTTCAGATAGAAATTGTTCAGTAGAAACATCACTATGTAACCATATCAGTGGTAGCTGTATAGGTGGATGTAAAGAAGGTTTTGGGGGAATTGACTGTGTTAAAAGATGTGAAGATGGTGTTTATGGAGCAGGATGTAGAAAGAAATGTTCAGATAGAAAATGTAAAGATAATTTACAATGTGACAGTAAAACAGGAGAATGTATTGATGGATGTCAACCAGGATATCAGTCAATAGATTGCCTTCGAGGTTAGCTATTTTATAATGATGACATAAATCTAAGGATTCACCTACAAATTTGAATACCATTTGAATGGCTTTAATCATGCAATTAATGCACTAGTAGATTTTATCTCACTATTTATTGTCGTTTTTGTAACACACCCCTTCCGACATAAATTTGTTGATTTTTTTCTTTCATGAGAATGCGATAATGGAACATATGGACAGGACTGTTTATCTAACTGCTCAGCAAGATTCTGCCAGGCACAAGATAAATGTAGTAAAATAGATGGAAAATGTGACTGTTTAGAAGGATATCAAGGAACAGATTGTACTGTTGATAAAAGGACTGCATTGTCAGGGGGCGCTAATTTAGGTAGTACGTTTTAAAATAAAGCTATCTGACTATATCATATGACCCGATTATTTTCGTAGTATTATTCTCATAAACTAAATAATAGTTACAAGACATAAAAAATACCATTACATTTGATCATAATTTAGCTACAATCGGCAAATATAAGCATTTGTTCCAGTTGCTTAGCCTGCGGAACATTTTCAAATGTAGAAAACATGACGTGTTAGTTTGACAATGATTACAGAACATAAAAAGTGCCCTCTACTTGCTCTAATTTGACTAGGCTTTTTTTCTGCAGAGTACAATATTTTCTAATCCCCCTCCCCTGACGTTATTTGCCTGATATTAGTACCAAACTTTCAGGAAGTTTAGGTAATGACGTTGTATAAAAAAGTATAACTGGAAGCCATATTAAAAAAAAATAAGTGACCATACCTGAGGTTATGTTTGACTTAGCATCATCCTTGGGGCATCAAAATTTCTGTATTTTGGTGGTATGGAATGCCTCTTGGGTTTAAAAATATTGCCAGATTTATGGCAGCCATCTTGAAATTTTAAAATGGTGGCATATTAGATAATGTAAGTGACCATATCTCAGATTGAATATGTCTTCGCGTCATTGATAGTCCATCATAATATATGTTGTTGAATGTTGACAATAATGCTGTCAATACATATGTGTTTTCGGGGTCCATAATGCTATTTTCATTTCATCCAAGATGGCCGCCAATCAAAAATCGTATTTCAGAATTATTTTAAGCTTAGCCAATCAGTAATAGTTTTCACAGCTCACCATCGGAATGTGTGCCTTCAAATCCATGTGTGTCCAGAATTATCCGCGTTTGAATGTAAAAATGTGATATATAGAAAAGACATACATAGAAATAGTGAGTAAAATTCCTAGTTTGAAGTATTTTTAAAGGAATTATGTGATTTTTGTACATTTCTAGTATTTCTGAAGACTATTTACATATATTCAAGACTCAAATCAAGCCCGAAAATCCCGTATCTGTCTCTTTAAAAGCTGAGTTACGGCTGTTAATGAATTTTTCCTCAGTGCCCATTTTGAATTCTAAGAATTTGTCAACAAATCATCTCATATCTATGAAAATATCATAATAGTATTCTCTCACCCCAAAAACATATATATTGACACTACTATTGGAAGCTGGGTTATGACTGTTGATGGATATTCGCATTGCCGCCATTTTGAAATCAAAGATGGCCGCAACAAATGATATATTGGAAGTTGGAACTATTAAAAAATGTAAATGTCTTAATCTTGCCTACATATCCTAAAATGTTGGTACTTTTGTCCGCCAAATAACACTTGGTCCAGTAGTATGGCAGTATTTAGTAGAAGTTCCAAAACCAACATTAGATTATCATAGAAGTTAACTACCGGATTACACTTATTTCTTGACTTGGTTATTTGAATTTCCAGGTAAAGATCAGAGTTCGATTATACTTGAAACTGTAATAGTGGGACTAGTTATTGGATGGAATTTTATGATGAAGCTAACACACGATATCTTCACTGCTTCTGTGGAAGAAATACTGCCGTGAGACTTGTTGCTATCAGAAAAAAATATCACAGACTGCATTGGTATACGATCATAGATGCAGAATTTTTTATGGTCTTATTCCATTGGAAGGTTGATTTGTTTTTTGAAAAAAGAAATAAACGTACATTATCAATTTTTATTACTCTCGTGATAAATCTTTGTTGTTATAATGTCAATGTCTACTATCACTGTGATATGTAATCCAGCAAGCAAGAATAAAGAGAGAATTTAAAAAAATAATAATAACAATTGTAAGTATTGGCGTAATATCACAAAATCTGTAAATGACAAATCATACAAAGAATTTCTAGAATGTTCAATTGAAGGACAATCCGACGTAAATATATTTAAACCTGAGTATTTTAAGAGATGATATTGCCATAATACTTCATTCGTATTTGACCGATATAACTGATGATACAGAACCGTTGAATTATAAACCCAGTTCACAGGAACTGACAAATTATTAAAAAGGAAAATTGAGAATGAAAAATTCATTAATTCTCATAAAGCAACAGGACTGAATTCAGTTGAACTAAAAATTTACGTTTGTCAGCAAATTTTGTATCTGTATATCTTACATATATTTTCCATTTAGGTTTATTTTAAATTGTGTTTCATGATTGTCTGAAACTGGCAAAAATTATCTTAAAATTATCATAAAAAAGAACGCGAAAATTTATCTAATAACTAACGCCCTTTTTCCTTTCCTGCCCACAATATCTAAAACATGTTAAAAGCGTATCACTTGAATGTAGGTCAGTTGCGGCCACATGGTATTTTGGTCACAGTAATAAGGGCACAAGGTAACTCGGCTTTCGCTTAAACGCAAATACAAGACGTGTGGTTTGTAAGTCATGGAAGCCGTATGATGGTGGCAACAAATGGAATAATTTGAAATTTCATGTTGGATGCTAACTTAACATGACTTACGTTAGAGAGGCAGTTTGCAAAATATTTACGTCTATGTATCTGCTTGATCAAACTGATCAGAGCGAACTAATTGTTAATTAAGCAAAATATCTTGTATAAATTAAAAATTACGCACAATGAGGAGAGGGGTTATTGTTTTGATTTTTAAACATAAGGGACAAAAAATTATTAAAAAATTATTTACTCAATGCCGTCGTTAAAAATCTATCGAAGATTTTAGCCACTAGCAATCTTGTGCTGTACCGGTGCGAAGTATTTTGGAAAATGTACCAAATATTCGTACGTAATTAACTAGTAAGAAGTCATGTGGCTCTGTCAAATAGATGCAGAAAAAGCCTTCGACCTTATCCGTAACGAGTAATTGCTACATGTTCTGAAATCTTTCGGAATCGGCCCTATGTTAATCAAATTAGAGATTATATACACAGATATAGCTAGTACAGTCAAAATCAACGGACACCTGTCACCCTACTTTTCCATACAGAGGTCAGTACGTCAGGGTTGTCCGTTATCCGCATTGCTATATGTATTATGTGCTGAGCCTCTGAATCATCAAATTATAAAAAATCACCCGCGAGAGGAATTACAATAAAAGACAGCGAGGCTCAGTCCCTAATATATCAGCATGCGGATGATATAACCCTGACGCTTGCTGACCTTAATTCTGTAAATACTATTTTTAAATGTATAGATACTTACTGTAAGGTTTCAGGTGCCAAAATAAACATCCAGAAATCAACAATTATGCCATTTGGCTCTGCCATCAACAAAACAATAAATATAGATTTACCATTTAAGATAGCATTTGACATAATTTTGATTCTGGGTTTTTATTTTGGTCATTTAATATAAAGGAATGTGTAAAACATAATTGGGAGGTAAAGGTAACTAAAGTGAAAACCATTCTTAATCTTTGGCAGAAAAGAAATTCAACACTTCTAGTGAAAGCTACGGTTATAAAGACCTTAATTATGTCTATATTTTACTATACAATGTCTATTATCCCCATGCCTGACCATATTGAACAGCAAGTAAGATCATTAATTTAAAAAAAAAAAAATACTTTTATGTTAAAAGTTATATTTTAACCCTGAAAATTTTAACATATGGAAGTATACAATGTCTTATTTTTTAAATTTGATAAAGATATATATTCTTGATACCGCCCTTTTATCATAATCCCTTAATTGCATGGGACGACCTGATCCTACTATTTTAAATGACATTGCTGTACAGCCTATTTTTAACAATATTTTATTAAGTAATAATAACATATTTTTAGCTTTTGACTATTTTATAAAATGTGAAATTTTAACCTATTATGACCTATTATATTTTATACCAGGTTTTTTAAATAATCATTACATTATTGGTATATTAAAGGAAAAGTTTCCATACATAAATAACAATAGGGTTATAGAGACTTACGATCATATAAAAGAATCACTACCACAAAAAATGGGTAGATATTATCAACTCGTCCCCATTTGTAGTCCATACTGGTGAAAATCATTTCAATATTGATGGTAGTGAAATCTCCTATGATCAATTGACTTCCAAATTCTGCTACAAAGTATTAATAAAATTTAAAGATGTTAAACCCTGAGAGAAGCAGAATTTGGAGGTCAATTGGTCTGTTAAGTTGGCTAATATTTTAAAATCTATAAGGCACTAGCAGACGACGCTCTAGGTTTTTACTAAGAATTATCTTTATGGATCTTTACAACTTTCGGTTTCGCATGTAAAGATCCATCACTAGGGATACTTCTGCATTTAAAAAACATCATATTCATTTTATTATATACAACTTTCAAATTTCATGATTTTTTAATCAAGGTTTTAATAATAATTCCACGTGTTAACTCATTTTAGAGAAACATTGTCATAGCTAGTGTCCACAATTTGAAGCCTTACAGTAATATGTTTTAATGATGTGAATAGAATGTAGAATTAAATTGAGAAATATATATATGTAGTGTCAAATAGTGCTCAGTACATCAATTGTAGAGCTACATAGAAATATTTATAGATATATTGTATATTAATAAATATTCTGTATTTAATGAATAAATGAAAGAGGTATAAATATATAAGGAGTTGGTCTGGAACGAGATATACGGCTTGACAAGGATCAGGTAAAGAATTCGTAGATAGTGAATCTGAAAGGAAAAAAAAAAGTAAATAGGTGCTCTCCCTGCGTGAGAGTTTACCTGCGACCCTTGATTTGAACTGGGTGAACGTGGGGGGTAAAGTAAAAGATCAGATGAAAATTTAAAAAAATATATTTTTGAGTAAAAAAGAACTCTAACAATAATTGAAGGAAAATAAAAAAAGCAAAACAAAAACTTACATAATAGATACTGAATCGGTTTTCATTTGATAATCTGTATCAACTTACTGGGATTAAGTTTTTGGATTAATTTATAGTTAAAGGATCAGTTAAGCAGTGTAACACGAGTGCGACAAGTACCCTTAGTTTCTCCTACATATTGTTTCATTGTTAAATGCTCCTGGATCGGGTACCATTTTACCACATTTGGTTAAATTGAATCTGCCACCATCCAGTTGATAGCCGTTGCTAAAAGTTAAGATATGAATTTTGTGGAAAACTCTTTTATAAACAGCAGTTTTCTTGTTGTTTATTTTAAGCACATATACAATCATCTTTACATTTACTTCATTAGTTGAATGAGCTCATTTCAGAATTAATTGAATTTGAACTAGGTTAAATCTACATCTAATCTAAAATTGGTGAACAAGACATCAAATTCGAAAATGATGTAGATTACGTCCGATGATGAAAAAATAAATAAAATAAAAACAATGATAGGTATTTAATAATAAAAAAAAAGAAAACACGCCTTTATGTAATAATACTAGATTAAAAACACTAGAAATTAAAAAAAGACATTGAAAAAATAATAAAAAGAAAACTAATCATTGACCACGAAAGTTATACTTATTCAGATTAACAATGCTTGCATATAAAAGTATAATTAAATAAATGAAAAATTGTAGGCCTACACTATACTATGTACATGAGACGGCGTCCTAATATAATTTATTCATGGATATTTCTATGATATTATGTATTCTGCTACAATAACGTGAAGAACTTTATATTCCTCCTAAAAATACAAAGAGAAACAATTATCAAGATCGCGAATTCAAGTATGCATGTCTACACGATCGTAAAATGATCGTGGTTAAGAAGTTCGTG